CTACTATACAACCCTAGCTCCTTGGTGATACCTAGTGCTCTACCCCTAGCTTAGCTGCCCAGAGTGTCGCCTGCATTGTGCCCCTCTTCCTGGATGGCAACATCTCCTTTCTGCCTGAAAACAGCTTCCCTTGCAGATTCCAGCCATTCCAGGTGAGGGTCTGATGGATCAGATGGGGTAGAGTTCTGAGATTTCTGTCCTTGAAATTTCTAGGGCTAATCTGGGATGGCTATTGGAACTGATAAGTCTGTTGTTGGTATGGCAGGCTTGATAATGCTCTTCTTCCTTTATAGGATGGCTCCTCGGGACAGAGGAGGCTGGTTGCCCTGCTTATGGCCTTTGTCTGCTCCCTGCCTCGAAATGTAAGTAAACACATCTGGGGAGTTTCCCAGTTTAACCCTGACTAGGAGAGGTGGATCCCAAGTGCCTTCTGGGCTGAACTTTGTCGCAGACTAAGCTGCTCTACTTCCCCACTGAGAAATGTAGTTCTCACCTTCCTGGCCCCTGCTGCCACTCGTTACCGGTTATCTCTTTGAGTTCAAGTGTTTTCTGGGTCCATTACCTGACCAGGTTTTCTGTAGGTGGAAATCCCTCAGCTGAACCAACTCATGCGGGAGCTTTTAGAGCTGAGCTGCTGCCCCGGTTGCCCCTTTTCCTCCACTGCCGCTGCCAAGTGCTTTGCAGGACTCCTCAACAAGCACCCTGCAGGTACTGGAAGCCTTCCTGATGAGATCTTCAAGTTCGGTCCTCATTCCTTTTTAAATGGAGCTTGCTAGTACTACATATAATGGGGGTTTCCAGGGGACAGTCCTTGGGACAGGTTGAGAGCAGAATTAGACAAAGCATTAAAGGACAGAGATGAGGGGATCAAGCAGAGTGCTGTGTCTAACCCTGTCATCCTGCTCCCTACAGGGAGCTGTCAGGGATCATTCTTTATTGGAAGCAGACAGCTCTTTTCCAGTGCCAGCACCCTGCGCTTTAAGGATAGCAGGCGCTCAGGCTGGTGGTCCAGAGCTGAGTGGGCAAAGCACACAGGAGTGTTGCTGTTCTCTTCTTGTGGCTTCTTGGGAAACTCTGCATTGAAATGATTTACATGCTTCATTGTTAAAGAAAAAAATGTGTAGCCTTTGCATCAGCATTTCCTCTCTCCTTTTCAGGACAACAGCTGGATGAATTCCTACAGCTGGCTGTGGACAAAGTGGAAGCTGGGCTGGGTTCTGGGGCCCACCGCAGTCAGGCCTTCACACTGCTGCTCTGGGTACGGAGTCGGAATGGATTCTCATTAAACAGACAATTATGTCTGGTTAAAAAAATTTCTCCATTTGACCTGGAAGCATAGCATGCTTCTCAGGGTTCTGGGGCTTGTGTCGTGCCCTAACCATTTTCTTCTCTGGTTACAGGTAACAAAGGCCCTAGTGCTCAGATATCATCCTCTCAGTTCCTGCCTTACAGATCGGGTAAGTCCATTCAGGAGACAAGGAAATGTAGGACCTAAACAGGAACTTCTGTTGGCCCTATTCCTCCCAGAAACGACTGTCATCCTCCTCCCGGTATTTAGGAGTCTTCTCCCAATATACCTCAAGGCTCTCTTTTTCCAGCTCATGGGCCTCCTGAGTGATTCAGAACTAGGCCCAAAAGCAGCCGATGGCTTCTCTCTGCTCATGTCTGACTGCACTGATGTACTGACTCGTGCTGGCCATGCTGATGTGCGGATCATGTTCCGCCAGCGCTTCTTCACAGATAACGTGCCTGCTTTGGTCCAGGGCTTCCATGCCGCTCCCCAAGGTAAGGAGACTCTAAAAGGAAGGCTTCAAGTTTATAAACCACTCCTTGGCTCAGGCCTCATTCTGGAAGATAATTTAGGACCTCGGTGCTACTTCAGGGTGGTGTACCTAAAGGGCTAACCTTCCAGATTCTTTTTTTTTTTATTATTAATATATTTAATTGATTTTTTTACAGAGAGGGAGAGGGATAGAAAGTTAGAAACATCAATGAGATAGAAACATCGATCAGCTGCTTCCTGCACACCCCCCACTGGGGGTGTGCCCGCAACCAAAGTACATGCCCTTGACCAGAATTGAACCTGGGACTCCTCAGTCCACAGGCTGATGCTCTATCCACTGAGCCAAACCGGTTTCGGCTCCTTCCTTCCAGATTCTTATCCCCTTCTTTTCCGTTAGTGAATAAATCTTGCTTATTCTGAGATTGAGGGGCTTTATTTATTTATTTTTATAACATCTATGTGGGCTAATGTCCCAGCTTCATCATATTAGAGTTGAATTCTCAAGCTGTATGTCTGAGCCCAGTTTCTTCCCTAAGCTTCTTTGCTTTTTATAGATGTGAAGCCAAATTACCTGAAAGGTCTGTCTCATGTACTTAACCGGCTGCCTAAGCCCGTGCTCTTGCCAGAGCTGCCTACGGTAAGTAAGCCTTGCAGTCCAGAGCCTCTAAGCACGGGACCACGCCATTGTCCCCCAGCTGAGGTAGAGGGGAGGTGAAGCAGGCTCATCACGTACATGGTCATCCCCACCTTTCCTGTGGCCCCCTAGCTGCTCTCCTTGCTGCTGGAGGCCCTGTCCTGCCCAGACTGTGTGGTACAGCTCTCCACCCTCAGCTGCCTTCAGCCTCTTCTACTAGAAGCACCCCAAGTCATGAGTCTTCACGTTGACACCCTCGTTACCAAGTTCCTGAACCTCAGCTCCAGCCCTTCCATGGTACGTTGAGCCCCAGTAACTCGCTGGCTTCTACAGCTGTCCTTGGGTCTCCTCTCATCTCCCTCTGGTTGTGTTCCAGGCTGTCCGGATTGCTGCACTGCAGTGTATGCACGCACTCACTCGCCTGCCCACCCCTGTGGTGAGTACCCAAGGTGTCCCTCTCTGGCCTGGAAAATTCTAAGAGCCAGAGAAATACCTTTTTGTCTTAGTCAAGCATGCTGGCCACCCTTCTGTGTGATGAACTGCAAGGTACAGATAGGCAAGGATTTGTCTGAATACCCCACCACAGAATGGTCATCCTGTCACCTAGCATCCTCTGGAATCACTAAAGAATAGGACTCGATTTAAAAATGGAACTCCCATTCGACCCAGTAACCTCACTTTTGGGATTATAAGGGACATATGCACCCCTATGGTCAAGGCAGCACAATTTACAATAGCTAAGATTTGGAAACAGCCTAACTGCCCATCAGCAGGTGAGTGGATTAAAAACAGTGGTATATTTAAACAATGGAATACTATGCTTCTGTAAAAAAGAAGGAACTTTTACCATTTGTAACAGCATGGATGGGACTGGAGAGCATTATGCTAAGCGAAATAAGCCAGTTGGAGAAAGATAAATATCACATGATCTCACTCATTGGTGGGATATAATGAACAACAAACTGATGAACAAAACCAGATCCAGAGACAAAGAAACACTGAACAGACTGTCCAACCTCAGAAAGAAAGGGAGGGGGGGGCGGGGGGCGGTAAGAGATCAACCAGAGGACTTGTATGCAATAACCAATGGACACAGACACGGGGGTGGTAGGGGCTTGTCCTGGGGGATGGGAGCGGGGGGGTGGAGGGGTGTCAATAGAGGAAAATGGAGACATGTTCTTCATTTAAAAAAAAAAACCAACATTAAATTCCCATGATATTCTGATGATGCTTTTACATAGTGACTATTAATAAGCAACATAGTTCTAAAAAAAAAAAAAAAACACAGGACTCGAGTATCATAGTTGCAGTGTCGGAGAAGCAGCTCTTTTGGCTGCTTTGGCTAAACAGGCTAAGGTTAACTCCCATTCCGCAGCTGCTGCCATACAAACCACAGGTGATCCGGGCCTTAGCCAAACCTCTGGATGACAAGAAGAGGCTGGTGCGAAAGGAAGCAGTGTCAGCCAGGGGAGAATGGTGAGTTCCTAGGTTGTGGGGAGAGATGGGATTGAAATGAGCCTCACCACTAATGCTGCCAAATTCTTCCTGCTACAGGTTTCTGTTGGGAAGCCCCGGCAGCTGAGCCGAGTCCTGGCCCAGACTGTTCTGACAATCGGACTTGGAATTACTAATTATTGAGCCACCTTGTCAAGGCAGGGAGACCACTGGCCTCTGATTGCCTTTCCCACAAACACAGCATCAATGCTGGGCCTCTGCTGCACAGCTGTACAAGAAAGTCCTGGTTTCTAATGGATTTGTGGAGTAACTGAGTGTGAGACTACTTGTGTTTGAAGAAAGATCTTAAGACTCTTCCATATTTGTACGTCAGGAAAAGAGATGCTGCTGAGGAGTGAATGCAGAGAGATGAGTGTGGCCTTGAGGACCAGGGGTGGTGCATGTGTATATATCTGCTGAAGAATAAAGATTTCTTTTTATAACGGGACTGTCAGATATTCTCTCCCTGCCCCCTGGCGAAAAGAACAGTAATGAAAGAGGTTAGCCAAGAATTTTCAGGGCATCCAGTGCCTCCAAATAGGGCAGAACACCTACCTACTCACTAAGCCTTGAGCCTGACTTTCCCCTCCCTGCCCTAAAGTAGCGGCAAAGAGAAGCTACAGATCTTTAAAAATCAAATACCTTTATTTTTGCTCCCATTAGCATGTGAGAAGTGGCAGTGACCTCAGCAGTAGGCCTGGTGTCTTTGCCTTGTTGAGAAGCCAGGATCTCAGCATGACCATTCAGATGTTTTCTCAGACAGCAAGTGGAAGTGGTGGTGGCCAACTCCAGTGCCAGAACCTGGAGGTTGGGGTCAGCACCCGGCAAGGTTGCTAGCTGCCTAATCTCCAGTCTATGGCTGGAACTTCTGTTTGCCTGAGTAAAGGAACTTCAGTCCTAGGACTTTTCCATATCGTGCCTTGCTTCTGCAGTGGCCAGGAGTCAGGTCCTTGGGTTATCTGTGCATGGTACCCTAAGGCAGGTCCACTGGCTCTTGTTGCTCAAGAATTCCAGGAAGCTACCCTTGGAGACCCTTGAGACAATGCAGGAAACAGGGTGATGCTCAAATTGTGGCTGACAGAATCCAGCTCACACTGCCATCACAGAGGCTGACTGAGCAGTCACCCAAGGAGGAGGATCCCAGATGATTCCATTCCCGTGGGGCAGGTGACTGGAAGGTAACAGCACCCGAGTAAGCCAGTGCCTGCAAGAGAAGAGAAATGTCTGAGTTCCAAGAGTTTGTGGGCTTCCTGTCCTCATTCCTCAGTAAGGACACATTAAGGTATCCTGAGGCTACCTTGGCATTAATCACAAAGGAACAAAAGCCCTCATTTTGTCCAATAAATGTGTCCTCTGGTGCCTTGAAGGCCTTTAGAGGTTTTGAGCTGAACGTCTAATGGGGCAACTGCAAGCACAGTAACAGCCAGGGATGTAATGGGGTTGGGGAAAGGCAGGCAGGAACTTGCAGTCACATTACTGCCCCCATCGCTGCAATTTGGAAAAGGATTTTCCCATGTCTTGGGTGGAAGAAGCTAGCTTCATTTATTGTCTTAGGACAACCTTTGTCACAAATAGATTATTTCAATTCCAGAAAGTATTGGCTTGGACTCCAAACACTACCATACAAATGGAAGGTAATTGGTGGCCACCTTCTCTACATAGAAGTCCCTTCTTGAAAAGAGCTTTCTTGGGATATTGTGTTATCTGTAAGCTTCATCTGCTACTTAAACCACAGTGTTGGCCTTAAACTCTGTTGGCGAAAATGAGCAATGATCTCTACTCCTAGAATCCAGATCTGTGCTTCCAATATTGTGACCACAAGCCACATTGTGTTTTGTTATTGTTTTCTAATTTATTTTTATTTTAGAGAGAGAAAAAGAATGTATCAATTTTTTTTACTTACTTATGTATTCACTGGTTGATTCTTATATGTGGTGACTGGGAATTGAACCTGTAACCTTGGGGTATTGGGATGACTAACTGAGCTACCCATCCAAGGAACACATGTGCCTTTTTAAATTTGTGAAAATAAAATTTAAATAAAAAATTCATTGGTACATTAGCCACTTGGCAAGATTTCAGTAGCCACATGTGGCTAGCTAGTGGCTAATGTCTTAAGACAGCATAGGCACAGAACACCTTTCTCATCACAGATTCCTATTGGACGGCACTGGTCGTCTTTACCTTCCTGTGTCCACTCCCAGGAATAACTTCCAGTTGTCCAAGCAGCCGTAGTTATAATGATTCCTAAAAACCTAGGACCAAGAAAAATGTAAGTTTCTACAAAACTTTTATTTAACCCCCTTCTAATTTTCAAGCCTAAGCTCAGCTAGGCAAGTTCTGGAGGTGAAGCCAAATTACCTGCCGTAGTTGGCCCTACCCATGGCCTATTTATAGACTGGCAGGCTCAGCATCCTCCCCCAGCCCTCAACCCTACTCACTCTGCCCTTGGCCTCCAGCCGACGTCTCTCCTTCCGGTTGATGTGCCTTTCAATACTAGTCTCACCTCGACTGATGAGAACAGCATGCCATAGAGTTAGGGCACCCAGGGCAAGTGCCACAGAACTAAGAAAAAAAAGCAAAGATTGGTGAGCAGCTTAGAGAGGGTTAACGGCTATGTCTGAAATTAAGCTGAGCAATAATGATTGGATAGGGAATTCTTTCCCAGCCTACGCACCCCAGATAAACTTTTACTTCACTGCATCTATAAAAAGCATCAATGAAAATGCTTCAACATGGGTTAAGAATAAATTACGTGGAAAGGAGGGGGAATAAGTCTGTATTACTAATTTAAAAAAATATAATTTCTTAAAATAGCCATGCTTGAGAGCCTGTATAGAGGAGTAAAAGCATCAGGGGTTGGAATAGGATGGCACAAAATTCAGGCTCCAGCTCTACCATTCATTCCTGCTGTGTACTGTGAAACAAATCACCCTGCTAATTTTCAGTTTTCCTCATCTATAAAATGTAGTCACTTACTGTTTAGGTAGGCGTTTAACTTACCTTGGCATATAACAAACACTCAATGCCAGTATCCTTAGTATTCCCTGCACCAAAATGCTCAAGAAAATTAAATGCTGACTTTTCCAACCTTTATTAGACTGAGGGCAGCAGTTCACACAGGAATGGGTCCCTGTGGCCACCTAAGGTTTTTCTGAAGCTGCCCCTCCATTAAGCTGCCAAAAAGGAGCGAGTTAGGTACCTGCACAGGAACCAGAGGTAGACAAGACTCTTGTGAGTCATTCTTTCTCGGAAGGAGAAGGTGGGTGGTGGGGTCTGGTGATAAGTCTAGAAAAAGAAAACAGCAAAGTCTGGCTCATTTGCTGTGCTAGTCTCCACCAGAGCCCCCCGCGCCTTCAGGCAGGGAAGTGATCGAAGCCCAGGATGAAAAAATAATGGGTTAAGCCACAGAGGAGTCAGGGTAGCAGCCAGATGGGTGGACCAAGCCCGGCAGCATCATGTGGACAAACACTGGGCAGAGTGGGTCTGGACAGGATGGCAAAGCACAGAAGGAGTTGATCCTGGGCCTTCCGATCTGACAACACAAATGGGGATCCAGGGGAAGCCACTCCACTGCCCAGCTGGAACTCCTTCCCGTGGGGCTGCAATCGCCGAGAGACCAGGCCCATACCCAGAATGGAATGACTGCAGCCGGGAGAACAGCTACATTAAGGGCTGAAAGAGCAGCAGAGGTACAATCCAGCCCAAGGTCTGCTCAGCATAAGGAGTCCCAAAAGCCTGAGAGAAGGGACGACCCAGGTGTGGATGCAGACAGACCAGGAGCAAAGGATGATCAGACTGGCCCAGCCTGATCTCTATCCCCTGGAGCCCCCGTACACAGACTGACACAGACTCCTTGCTGCTCAGGCCATTACCAAGGCAGAGTTCTTGCTCAGCCCAAAATAAAAATAAAAAAAGGTGATAATGGGATAGAGAGCCAAAAACTGTCACATACCAGGAACTTCTAGGCCACTTAGTCTGCATGGCAGACAGCCTCCCAGTACACCCTGATCCAGCAGCCCCTCAACCAGGCTCTACAATTCCACCAGTGGGCCCTGGTTGCCTCAGCAACTCTATGCCCCCCGGCCTGAGCAGCAAAAGGCAGGGGGGTGGGGACCGCCCACCTGGTTGGCAACCGCCTGTAGTTTGTTCTTGTCGAGCTGTTTCATTTTCTAAGGGGATGGAAAACAGTGCCGGTTATACTCTCAGGTCTCTGGCACGGAGGTGCTACCAGCCCCGCTCCTTAAGGGACAGATCCCACACCCCAGCGTGCTGTCTACGCAGTGGCCCTGCTCCTGACTATGGGCTCACCTCAATGGCAGCGTAAGCCTCCCGGAAGAGGTCCCAACTTCCATAGCTGCAGTAGACACAGCCCAGAGTCATGAAAAAGCAGAAGGAGAAGAAGTACCGATGGTTATAGTGGCCCACACAGTTGTTGAGCCAGGCTGGTGCGGGAAGGATTAAGGACAAGATCAAACAACTTCAGGGTGTGTCCGGGCCTCTCTGGTTCATCCTTGTTTCATGATGACATCATCCAAGCCCAGGGTTTCCAGTCACCAAGAACTATTTTCCAAAGGCAGAAGATGCATACGGGACTTGCCAGAGGTTGAGGTGAAAGTGTTAAAGCTTTTCAGAGCCCTCACAAGTCCCATCAGGATATCATGAAAATAGAAACCCTTCACTGAAATGAATGTGCCAATATGTCAACCTAGCTGGGGTTCACCAGATATCTGTAAGGGGCAGCGGAAGGGAATCAATGCTTCTATCTAGATGATGACTGAAGCCCAAACATCTCCTTCCATCCAACAGATGCCGGCATGACAGTCTACAAAAGAAAGGGCTGCAGGAACAGGGCTGCTTGCTCCAAGGAGTTGTGTCCCAGAGCACCTGTACGCTTCCTGCTTCCCCCAGGAGACTGTCCAGCCGCCACAACTCCTCTTCCACCAGCGTCTCCTGAGCCCAGTGCTCTCCGCAGGGTGATGCTAGAAGCCTCAAGTCTGTGGCCCTTCACCCTGGGCAGTGGGCAGGGCTCTGGAGCTACACAGGAGGCCTCAGGCGGAAGAGGTAATAAAAGGATACGACAGTGGTGATCCATCTTCAGCACACACCTGTGAGGGAGGGACACAGGCTCTGTTACGGTGGCCAAGGTTCTTGAGATGTCAGTGCCAATCCTTTTCTACAAGGACCAACGTCCTGCTGAGATGGAAAGGGCACAGACTTTGAAGACAGCCAGGCCTTTGCTACAAACGCTGCGACATTGCCTACCTGGTACTACATGAGAGTATCTCTTGGAACCTCCGTTTCTACCAGTGGTGATAACACCTAACTCGCAGGACCAGCCTGAGAGCCAGGGGTCATGACAGAGAGGGCACATTGCCTGGCACGCGATGAGTGCTTCATAGACACCAAACCCCAGGTCTAGGTTTTTCCCGGGGGCTGCAGCCGGAAGGCCAGAGCGAGGGTTCACAGAGAGCAAAGCCAAGACCCACCTATTGCAGACGCTGCAGTGGTGTGTGCGGGCTGGCTTGGGGTAGATGCACTTCTTACAGATGGAGACGGTTGCAATATCGTTCCTGCCCTGCGAAGGGAGAAAAGCATCGTGACGACATGGCAGCGCCAGCTTCACACCTGCAAAGATGCCCAGGCACGCACCCTCCCCGCTCCTGGCACTGGCGCCCGTGGCCAGCAGCCCTCCGCCTCCCCCCCCACGCCCTGTGGAGGCCCACCTGGGGAGGATATCCGGGTGGAGTGGTGATGGCCTGGTAGTAATGGAAGACGATGAGGATCAGATTCCAGTGGCTATAGAAGAAATGCCAGCAGAGTCGTGGCACTGAGTAGGTTCGGAGGATGAGGGGCAGGACACACAGGTAGGCGATGGCCACGATGGAGCTGGTCAGCACAATCACCAGCACCACGAACACCTACCAACACCAGTGAGGTCAGGCAGGTGCAGCGAGAGAGCTTGTGGACACCCAGAATAGATCAGGAATATCCCCAGGGGAGGGGCTGGCGTTGGTGCGTCAAACACACGTCCCTCTGCTACCCCAAAACATCCCTCTTCCTGCTCCCTGGGCATCACTCACCACCCCACACCAGCGGATCACGTTGTCCACCAGCCAGTAGATGGGCTCAAAGGCGGCATCGACAGCGGTGTCACTGCCCCCGAAGGAGTTGTAGAGCAGAGAGCGCAGGCAGACCTTGCCATAGCGCCAGCGCTGTACCAGGCCCCGGAGCAGAGGGGGGCAGCGGCGCCTGGAGCCCAGGAGCAGAAGCAGGCGCAGGCAGAGGCGGGCAGGGCCCAGCAGCAGGCTCCGCTGGCCCTGCATGGCTCCTAGGAGAGCACACCATTGTGAGGGGCTACATGGCTCCTAGGGGAGCACACCATTGTGAGGGACCAGCCTCCCGCCGTAGCCCACCAGTGGGGGGCGGGGGGGGGGGGGCCCCGAGCACCAGTCTTGCAGCAAAGACCTAAGACTGAGGCCCAGCGGGGCCAGTTACCAGCTGCGGGCAGTAAGAAAGTCACTCCAATCCTCTCCGGAATGTGCAGTGCTAGTGTCCCAACCGGATGACAGGGGGCAGGGCTGGAGGTGGCTAATGACGACAATAAGGCAGAAGCCACATGGCACCATGTGGTTACATAGCAAATCCAAGATAACGCACACCCAGAGCCAAGGGCCACATTAAAGGGGAGAAGGAGACACGCGGCTCCAGGACAAAGCAGGGTCTTTGGGATTGTCCGTAGACAGGTCACTGGGTGGAGCACAGCCAACATGCAGAGAGCTGCCCACGGTGTCTCTGTGCGCATGGCCACTGGCCGAGGGTTCCCAAGTCTTTGCGTGTCCTGGCCCACGGACCTGCCTCCAAGGAACAACCCGTGGGGGTGTGAATGCATCGCATGTGGAGCCTGCACCCAGATCGTCCCAGCCCAGGGTTTCCTGACCCAAGAACTATTTGGTTGCTGAGTCTTAGCAAAAGATACTCATCCTGCCGAGACCAGTTTGGCTCAATGGATAGAGCGTCGGCTTGGGGACTGAAGGGACCCGGGTTCGATTCCGGTCAAGGGCATGTACCTTAGTTGCGGGCATATCCCCAGTGGGGGGTGTGCAAGAGGCAGCTGATCGATGACTCTCTCTCATCGATGTTTCTAACTCTCTCTCTCTCTCATTTCATCTCTGTACAAAATCAATAAAATATATTTAAAAAAAAAAAAAAAAAAAGATACTCATCCTTCCTACTCCTTCTGGGCTGATGTTACAGGCCACCAGACCCAACCTGGTAGCATGCGAGTCCCTGCCTCCTGTCAGGGCACTCAGCTACCCCTTCCATGACATAAGACGCTTTATCTTCAATTCCAGTCCCAGCACCACCCCAACGGTACAGAAGACAAGACAGCCTGGGTATTCAGAGGAGAATAACACCACAGGCAGGAAGACATGGCGGTGGGAGGGGAGCCTCCATGCTGGTGGCTAATGACGACAACAAGGCCTGATCTCCCGGCTGAGTCTCCCCTGCCTGTCCTAGTTGAACATTCAAGAGCCTTCTCAGGCCGAAACCGATTCGGCTCAGTGGATAGAGCGTCAGCCTGTGGACTGAAAGGTCCCAGGTTCGATTCCGGTCAAGGGCATGTACACCCAGCGGGGGGTGTGCAGGAAGCAGCTGATCGATGTTTCTAACTCTCTATATCTCTTTCTTCCTCTCTATAAAAAATCAATAAAATATATTTAAAAAAAAAAAAAAAAAAAAGACCCTTCTCGGCAGCTGCTGCCCTGGGCCCCCGAGCTTCCCAGCCAGCTTCCCTCGCTCTTTAGCCCTTTGCATGGCTCCTCTGCCAGTGCCTCCATCGCCTCTGTGTGGTTTCTATCTCATCCAACAGCCACAGAGGGTCAGCGGCCCAGGCCATGCCCAGAACAGAAGACACAGATTCCTTTGATGATAGTCTCATCAACTCTGCAGATTAACGTTCCTTCCAGAAAAGAAATTATCTGATTTTCCCCTAGAGCTGCTTTGTCCTCACTGACTTATTTAACAGTCAGCTCAAAACCCAGCAGAAACTGGAGGAGGCCGCTCCACTGTAGGGATGGTTTCCGTTCAGTAACTGGAGCAAGGTACTCTCCTTGCACCCCGGGCTCACCAACATAAAAAGCCTTTCATAGAAAACTCTTAATTACCTCCTTCCACAAACCTATAATGACCTGAGGGAAAAAGAAATCCAGCAGACAATGCCAGCAGAGAAAGTGGAGAGAGAGAAGACAATTCAGTAGGGATAAAGAAATGGCCATTCCCATACCACTTCCTAGGAGCTAGAGGATTGAGAGAGAAAAAGGGAAAGATCAAGCCTCCTACCTCCTTTGAGTTGGACTCCCGTTGTTTGGCACCCTGATTTGTCTTAAAGCATCAATTTTCAAAATAGTACATACAGGCACCACAATCAAAAATATAAGAGTGGGACAAAACATTCTATCCCACAACAAATGCAAGTGGCTTAGGCAGTCCATACCACTGTTTTTATTCCCTTATTATGGCTAATGGAGAATTTCCTGTTTGCTAAAACACAAGAGCAACAGCTCGCAACTAAGATGCATTGTATTTCTCATCTTTATTAATACGATCAAATGCCACCTCTCCTGTCTACAAACTTCCTTTTTCAGGTTTCCACTTTGTGGATTGTTCTCAACCATCTCCAGAAATTCCCGTGCTCTACAGGAAATGCCTGCTTCAAGGACCAGACTCGCCAACTTTCATGTGCCCCAAAATTTGACTGCTCAAGGTTCAATTCTGTCCGTCGGTGGTTCTGCGACTTGGGCAAATCCCTGGGTCCTGCCTGAACTCAATTTTCTTGTGTTCCACGCAATGCGGATAAGTCAATGCTGAGGTCCGTTCTAATGCTAACCCTTTATGATTCCATAGACACACTTGGCAAGGTATAAATGAAATGTTCATAAAGTTCTTTGCACAAGACCTGACTCATGGAAGTGCTCAATAAATACTTGTTAAGTAAATAACCTGAGATGTAGAAGTGGAGAGAGTGGTCAGATGTGTATCTGTCCAACAATGCGATGACACTAAAAAATTTTCCGCTGCTACCATTCCTTGCTGTTAGTATCATAGCACGTGTTAGAAGGCATTTTAGGAAACAACGTCAACCAGAAGTCAACCCAAACGTGTAAACCGAAAGCTTGTAGATGTGGAGCGCAAGAACAAACAAAGTCTGAGGCTGAGCCTCCACTCATTTTAGCTCGTGGGCTTTGGGCCATGGGGAGGCCAGGTCCATGGGGCCACAACTGAACATCCATTCATCTCAAGAAACCGAGGGAAAGCAGAACTCAAACAATTGTGTGGGAGGAGCACAAAGAAGGGGGGTCAGGGCGGGGTGGGAACCTAGTGGAGGGGGAAAGAAATGAGGAACCTTTATGATGAACAATAAAGATTGATTTAAAAAAAAAAAGAAAAAAAAGAAGGGGGGTCAGAGTGTACAAGGGAGGGAAAGGAGCAAAGCACACCATCACCCCAAGCACAAGCCCTGAACGCCGATCCCACGGTGGTAGTAGCCACAGACCATCGTGACACCTGCCACCAGATTAAAGGGGATTGCAGGCCATGGCACTCTCTTCTGCCCGAGGCTCTACACCACCATCTGTTTCCCAAGGAGAAACTGGGTTTGGGGATGGGAGCATATACTGGGAAAGACGGATTTCAAAGCTGCCAGAAGGCAGAGGAAACTGTGATGAAAGTCTTGGTAAACCTCATCCGGGCAAGGATGTTGCTTTCAGGATGTTTGCAACTTTGAACAGCCAGGTGTCAATCATCATTACCAACAGCATTTTATGCACGTGCAAGACTTCCTTTCCGGACTAACATGTTGGAAAGAAAAAAAGTTAAGGATGGGATCCGACTCTTGTGAGGATTCCACTGAGATGGGAAGCTGCAGTCATAAAAACAGGGGAAAAGTTTATTTCTCGGTGAAAGTGGCATGGTCAAAGTGCGATGGACTGGAAGTCAAAACACTTGGGTTCCGGTTTAGGCTCTACCTTCAACTACCTTTGAGACACTGGACAATTCAAATCTTATCTCTGGATCTGAGTTTGCAAATCTGTAAAATGGGCAAGATAGGTTCCTTGGCTTTCTTCCACCTTCACGCGTAACGGCTGCCGGGAAGGTGCACACTGCCTGGCTGGAGGAGAGCGCGGACACACAGGGCTCCACTGGGAGACAGCAGGAAGCCGGCCACACGGCCAGGCCCCACAACAGGGCCCGACCCTAGATAAAGGGGACCGGGCTGAGGACAAAGGCCTGCCGACTTACCTGCCTCTGGCCGACTCTCCAGCCAACCAAATGGAGCTCGCAGCCTCCGCTCACTGCCACCCCTTCCAGCTCGGCGCCCCAGGCCCACACGGCTCAACCCAACCCACCATGCCCCGCTGCCTGCAGGTCCAGCCTGCAGACCCGGACCCGCCGCCAGCCCATCCTCAACCACAGGCGCACGCGCAAGTCCAGGGGCTCTGGAGCTCCGCCCCGGGATTCGCCCGGGGCACCCTGGGACTTGTAGTTTACCCCTTCGGCAAGGCACTGGGGGTCACGTGACAAAACGCACCAATCGGCGCGTTCCTTATTGAAGCACTGCACCTGTGCTTTGGCCAATGAGAGGTCGTTTTCGTTTTCCTCGGGGCTTTGGACAGTGGCTGTCATGGCGCCCCCCGTGAGGTACTGCATCCCGGGTGAGTGAGTGATGCCCCTATCGAGTCCTGGATAGGGACAGAGGCGGGAAGGCTGGATGGCTCACAGCGTCTGGGCACCCGTGGCTGATGCCGCGTGTTTTTTTTTCCCCTGCAGGCGAACGTCTGTGTAACTTGGAGGAGGGCACCCCGGGCAGCGGCACCTATACCCGGCATGGCTACATTTTTTCGTCTCTCGCTGGCTGCATGACGAAGAGCAGCGAGAACGGCGCGGTAACGGGGGCGGCCTTCCATCTCCTCGGTCTTTGCCTTTCATTTTGCGGTCCTTGGGCGAAGGCACTGTGGACGCACCTTCAGTGCCTCACCGGGAAGAGCGGGTCTCTGAAGTTTCTTCCTGCCGTGGTCCCTGCTGCCAGGCACTTGGTTGGCACAAGGGTGCCAGCTGTTTGGGGCACCCTTGGTTGTGTTGCTGACTCCCAGGGGAAGAAGTTGGGGGAAGAGCAGAGACCAGCTCAGCCCTACAGTGAGCTGACTCCTGCCCGCATGTTGCCTACTTCTCTGGCTTCATCCATATCCCCACCTCACCCTCTACCATTCGGTCCTACAGGCTTCTGTCAGCGTCGCTAGTGCTCTAAGCCCTCCCCTGCCACTGGGCCTTTGTACATACTTCATCTGCCTGGCACTCTCTTCCCCTCCTTATCCTGTGTAATCCCTGCCTATATCAGATACAGTAGTATCTAAATACTTCAGATAGCCTAAGTGTCACTCAGAGAAGCCCTCCTGGATCCTCCAGTGGAGGGAGTTTTGTTTTTGTTTGTTTTGTTTAACACAAAGAATTGTATTCCTTTCTTTCCAAGCACTTATCTCAGGATATATTTGAACAGTTATATGTTCCCCACTAGACTCTTCCCCTACTTTAAGATTCATGAAAGCAGGCCTCACCACCATACCTTTAATGCATAGCACAAGTAAATGCTCAATAAAAATTTGTTGAAGGCACAGGTTCCAGAGCTTAGCACAGTGTTAACTCAGGATCAGATCAGCAATCTTTGAAGGAGCAGCTTAAAGCAGGTAGCATACTAGAAAGAGGAATCAGAATTAAAACACTTGGGTGCTGAATAACTAGACCTTGATTCTGTTTTATCTAAGAAACAAACTCTCTGGCTTTAAGTTCTTCCTCATTTGTAAAGTGAGAGGCTTTTCATTCAGTTTTGGGAATGTCCTTAACATTTGTAAGTTTGTTCATTTTCTAGGTATGTTCATATGTCAGGCTCAGTGCTGAGCTCTAGAGATACGGTAATGAGCCAGATACACATGGTCTCTGCTATCAAGGGCACAAACCCAAATTGTAAATAAATAAATGCTCAAATTAATGTATGGTTACAAATGTGATGATTGCTTAAAAAGAATACTATTGGGTACCACATGTTCTCATTGGTACTCATGTACTCATGTACCAATGAGAACATGTGGTAGGTAAACCCAGCCTAATTAGCGGAAGTGACATTTAACCAATCTAAAGGATAAATAGGAAGGGCTCAATCCTGGCAAAAAGAACAGGTTGAACAGAGCTCCTGAGATGGGAAGAAATTTAGTGAGCTGGTCAACTGAAAGGCCAGGGGAGCCAAAACATAATGAGCAAGAGAGAGATTAATAACATATGAAGTTCAAAATACTATTTATCATAAACCACCAGCTAATACCATGCTCAAAGAGAAAACTCTACAAGTATTCCCATAAACCAGAAGCAAACAAGTATGACCACTATTATATAACAGTGATTTGGAAATTCTCGCCTATAGTGAGAAATAGAAAGAATAAGCAGTATAGCTTTGGGAGAAAGAGTCAAATTATCCATGATTTTAGGCAAATTTTATACCAAGTAATTCCAAGAAAGTCACACACAAAAACTTGTTAGAACTGATCTGAAATGGTTAGTTTATATTTTCTAGCAGCATTCTTTCTGTGGCCCTCCTATTTTTTAAAATTTCTAAGGCTCTCTGCTCTGGGCTACAAATGAATCTAGTTTACCTTCCCTCATAGGCTTAACTCTGGACCAAGACAATCCTATATTACACTCAAGCCACAAATACATCTGCCCCAAGGCTTAGCCAGGATACTCACATTTTATTGTTTTCCTTGTAGCTTCCTGTTGTGTCTGTGATGAGAGAAACAGAGTCCCAATTACTGCCAGATGTGGGAGCTATTGTAACCTGTAAGGTAAGTTAGAATTAACGTTGCTACTTAGGATACACACACCCAGTGCTGAAGTCATGATCATTGTAGGCCTGCACTGTTCAATATGGTAGCCACTAGCGACATATGACCATTTAAAAGTCAGGAAATTAAAATTTAAACTTTATTTATCAGAGCTCTAGATAAATCAATTTGGCTCATTAAATAGAGTGTCAGCTTGCTGACTGAAGGGTCTCGGGTTTGATTTCAGTTAAGGCCACATGCCTGGGTTGCAGGCTCGATCCCTAGTAGGGGGCATGCAGGTGGCAGCTGATCAGTGATTCTCTTAATCATTGATGTTTCTCTCTCTCTCTCTCTCTCTCTCTCTCTCTCTCTCTCCCCCCCCTTCCTCTCTGAAATCAATAAAAAATATATATATATATTTGAAAAAATAAAATGTATTCATCAGCTTCAGTAGCCGAATTTCAAATTCTTTTTTTAAAAAAATATATTTTATTGATTTTTACAGAGAGGAAGGGAAAGGGATAGAGAGTTGGAAACATCGATGAAAGAGAAACATCGACCAGCTACCTCCTGCACACCCACCACCGGGGATGTGCCCACAACCAATGTACAAGCCCTTGACCGAAATCGAACCTGGGATCTTTCAGTCCGCAGACCGACGCTCAATCCACTGAGCCAAACAGGCTTTGGCCGAATTTCAATTTCTTAATAGCCACATGTGGTTAGTGGTTGTCATATTAGTCAACACAAAACATTTTTATCACAGAAAATTTTACTGGATTGTGCTGGTCTAAAGATTTCTAGAATAATGGTCAAGGCAGCCAAGTTCAGGTTTGCATAGTTCTTTCATAGAACAGGTTTCCTGAGTATGTAGTTTTACTTGTGTGGGAAACAGGCTCCAAAAGGTGGTAAGAAGGTCTATCTTTGCATATCTGAGATGAGACCTTTTTCTGCAGAAAAGTGAAAAACTTTATACTGTTGCATTCCTGTTAAATATAAAGACTTTAGGATGTTCCAGGGGAAATACAAATTAATGCTGTACTGACCAGTAGCTCCAGTACATCATCCTACCCTCCGCCAGGTTACATTAACTTGGAGCTCTTGGTTTCTCTCTTTATAACTTGCTCCAGCCAAAAAATCTGTGTGTAATTCTGAAAATAACTGGAGGAACAGTGATCCAAATATTATGCAGCAGCTGAAATGTAGACTTAAATTCCATCCACACTATAGGCCTCTTAATAAGACCTGCTAAAGATCTGGATTTGCTATCATGCTCTGTGTCTATTTACATTAGACATCTGTGTTTTTCAAAATCTATACTGTTATTTCATTTGATTCCTACGGTAACTCCATTGGTTCTTATTCCACTTTATGCAAGGATAAGTAGGTGTTAAGTTGTTTTAAATTCTATACTTAGTAAGGTTGCTTGGACTGAAACCCTGCTAATTCCTAATTTATTACTGCCTCCTCAAGCTGACAACTGCTAATACTCTAATGCTGACCTTTTCTCTGTTCCACAGGTCTCTAGCATAAATTCACGCTTTGCCAAAGTGCACATCCTGTATGTGGGCTCCACACCACTTAAGAACTCTTTTCGAGGAACTATCCGGTAAGAAGCATTTTTGTCTTCACATTTGCCTCAGCACCTGGAGTAAGATTGGAATGTTTACAAACAATTGCAATTCCTCCTCCTGCTTATTTCTCTCCTCTCTGTACTTCGATTCACCTCAGGTATTATCCTAAGAAAATACTATAATATACGAGTTGGGACAAAAGGAAAAAGTAATGAGAAAAGGCTTAAGAACAAAGCGAAAAGAACTGAGCTAAGCTAGAGATTAGCGGTGTGGGATGATTCAGATCAAAGTAGAAAATACTTTGGAAGTACCTTCCCTTCTTGAATTGAATTTAATATCAATTACACCCAAGGATTGTAGGACATTACCAAGGTTAATGGATAAAAGGGTAGATTCCCCCTACCCCCACCCCCTGTGGATTCTTTTTTCTTTTGGGGGGTTTGGAGGATTATTCTTAGAGAAGAGACAAACAATTCTTGTGAAACAGATAAGCAAAGTTCCTTATCCTTTCTCACCAAATCTGATCTGCTTTTCTCTAGTCAGAGGTATTGATCCTGCTGCTCTATGTGATCCAAGAATGTGAAATGTGGTTTTCTCTTCTCTGTGAGGCCTGGGGATGCCTCTCCACCCTGATCCTCTGGGTGGCAGCTCGGTTCTAATTACATCTTGATCTCTGTTCTTACAGCTCTTTGCTAGCTATCTTCAAGATAATTCATTCTCACATATGATTAATCTTTCTGTTAATTTTCTTTTTTTATAGCAAGGAAGATGTCCGAGCTACTGAAAAAGACAAGGTTGTTGGTTGGTTCTACTTTTTTTTTTTTTTGGCTTTAGGATTCAATCCTTTTAAATTATTCCAGCGAATTTTAAATATCTTTGGGATTGTGGAGTCCAAAGAATTTGAAGGTGTTCCCTCCTGGAAAGTGTAGAATTCACCTCACTGTTTCGGATATTTATTCGTTGCTGTTTCCTCAGACTTACTCTGGACCTACTCAGAGTTACCTATTGCCCAAGTCAGATTCCTGACCGGATTATTAGATTCAAAATCGTTCATTTATATGATGCTATAGAAGGAATAAAAGTTGTTGGTTGTCTTGAGTAATGATGACATTACTGGGATTATAAAATAGACTGAGTCTACCAGAGGGGTTACTAGTTTCTTGTAGACCTGATCTAGAGCTATCATGTGACACTCCTGTTCTTTCTTTACAGGTTGAAATTTATAAGAGTTTTCGCCCAGGTGACATTGTCTTGGCCAAAGTGGTATCCTTTATTCCAAGCAGATTTGTGAGCCTTTGTCAAAAGAAGAAATAGAAATAGAGATACAACTAAAGTGGTTATAGGAGAGAAAACTTATAAGCCGTCATTTTCCTTTACCGATGTTACGTGACTAGATCTCCCTAGGTGATGCACAGTCCAACTACCTCCTGACCACTGCTGAGAATGAACTAGGAGTGGTGGTGGCCCACAGTGAATCAGGTGAGTCAGTCCATGTTTCCACATGCTTACCTTTCCCTAGAAGCTGTTTCTTTTTTTCTTTTTTTAATATATTTTTATTGATTTCAGAAAGGAAGGGAGAGAGAGATAGAAACATCAATGATGAGAGAGAATCATTGATCGGCTGCCTCCTGCACACCCCCTACTAGGGATCAAGCCTGCAACCTGGACATGTGCCCTTAACTGGAATCGAACCTGGGACCCTTCAGTCTGCAGGCCAATGCTCTATCCGCTGAGCCAAACCAGATAGGGCTGTTTATCTTCTTTTATAATTATTAAGGAAGCAATGTGGATGTAGATGCTGCTAAGATGAGAATGATTGTCTTATATAAATTAAGAAAAAGAATATGGTAACTCCATAAGTCAGTGGGACAAACAAGGTTTTTTTCTATAGGAGGGGAGGTTCATTAGGTACCTCAGTGACACTTCAGTTCATACCGAGCTGTTTTCCCTTTTAGGTGTCCAGATGGTTCCCATCAGCTGGTGTGAGATGCAGTGCCCGAAGACCCACACCAAAGAATTCCGGAAAGTGGCCCGAGTACAGCCCGAATTCCTGCAGACCTAGGAAGCTACGTTTTACCCCAAGGAGGGATGGGTAGGCTGTTTCCAAGAGAACATGCTGTGCAAGTAACAACAAAGTGCCATTGTTTTATTCACATTCCTGGGATCAGCCAACCGCCAGCTCTGGAAGTGTCTGCCAGAAACTAAGTCTGTAGGTGAAACATTTTCCCAGTGAACCTTTCAGTGGATTTCATTCTCGAGAGAGAAATGTTTCCTTTGGAGTCTACATAAACCAACTATATAATGTTGGAGATAGCCTATTCCTTCTGACAGACTTACAAATATATAATTTTGCTGTGACACAAAACCTTTTTATTAAAAATATTTTATGGTTTCTGTTGTCTTGAGTTGGGAAAGGAACCTAAACGGTGCCATGACATGTGGAGCAGGTGTTTGCCTGGTGGCATCCCTTAACTGACATGTATCAAGTGCATGTCTGCCCTGGACAAAGCCTGATCTCAAATATTTTTTATATTTTATGTTTTTGTTTGTTTGTTTTTAGTACTTTTGCTAATTGAATACTTACTTTGTGCCAGGCACTAGGTCAAGCACTTTATATACATGCCCTCATTTAGAGAGAATATGGTTTCCTGAATATTATAGGACACGTGGTGATTCCGGTAGCATGGTGTAGTTGTGAAGTTATGTGGTAATCATAGTGTTACTGACAGAGTGAGAACTACAGGAAATGTTTGTTAAATCTGAATTGAAAACGGATGCAGCACTGTTGTGTGAGATCAGGAAGGGACTTATGACAGGAGGTAAAAGGAATTAAAGAACTTAGAGAAGTGAAGTGAGGATATTCAAGGCAGAGAGAAGCCCAAGGTCAAGTTCTGGAACAAACATATTTGAGGATGAGAATGGCATGAAGGTTAAACATGGAGAGGTTAAAGGGAATGGATGGAATGTGAATTATGAGATATCATATTTAGAGGTGTTAATTCAAGGGCCCCACATCTTTTATGTGTAGTGACAGTGATTGAGGGTGAGCTTTGGAATCAAGTCTCTAGTTCTAGCCTTGAGCCGTTTAGGTGGTTTTGTGTTATTTTGTTTTTAACACTCACCCAAGGATATTTTTCCATTGATTTTTAAAGAGTGGAAGGGAGGGGAGAGACAAGAGACACAGCGATTGGTTGCCTCCTGCATGCACATGACCAGGACCAGGGATCCAGCCTTCAACCAAGATATGTGGCTAGAGTTACTCTATAGTCAAATAAAAAACTAAGCCTTGATTTAGTTGAACATCCTTTAGCCGTTTTAGTTTCTAGTACTTCTGGCAATTTCCACATCTCTTTCAGCCTCTTTTCTTTTCTGTAATCGGGATACCAGACCTTTCAGAGGTTGTCAGGATTAGAGCTTGGCTGGCAGAGGAGCTTCATTCTAGCTTAACAGGTGTTTTTTCCTAATAGAAGAGAAAGGTCTTATGGGTTTTCTCATGTTCCAGTGACCTTTTCTAAGGCATGAGAGAAGGTAAATGTGAGCATCCCTTCCCAATTGTGTATATAATGTAATTATTCTCCTGCATTGTTATTTTATGAGGTTTTGTGTAATTTTTGAGGATGTTGACTGACATGGCTGGTCTAGTGACTTGGTTGGAGCATCTTCCCAATATTTGATCCCTAGTCTGGGAACATAAGAACCAATCAATAAATGCATAAATAGGTAGAACAGCAAGTTGTTTCTTCCACACTTCCTCTCTAGAATTGGTAAATAAAAATTGCCCATTTTGGCTCAGTGGTTAAGAGTGTCAGCCCGAGGACCAAAGGGCACTTACCTCTAGTGCAGGTTTCCCAGCCCCAGTAGGGGTCCTGGGGGGGTAGAGGTGCTAGGAGGGCCCATGGGAGGCAACCAACCAATGTCTCTATCCCACCCACTCTAAAAATCAATGGAAAAAATATTCTTGAGAATTAAAAAAAAAAAACTTTAGGGGCCAAAAAGAAAAGAGTGAATTAAGCCTACAAGTTAATAGAAAAGGATTGGCTTTTTTTTAAAACTCTGGTTAAGCCTTTACCTTACTCTAGAGAGCTCAGTAGTTTCAGAATTTGACTTTCCAGTCAAGGAGTACCTGGTAACCGGCACCAGTGAGCAAAAGCTGACAACAGGAACGGAGAGCTCAGCCAAGACCTGCTCATCCCAACCCCTCCAGCCTGAGGTGGAAAGCCTAGTAATACACAATTTTGGATCAAGCTGTGTCAAGCTGTGACTGGTTGTCCTTGAGCTCTTGATCTGTCACACAAGGACTTGGGTAATGAAACATTTCAGATTGAATGTTCAAGCTGATTTCCTGAGACAGGAGATTACACATCACACAGAAAATATTGCACATCACTCCTTTATTATACTGACCTGAAAAAGATGTAGTAGTTATGCTCAAAATGCTTACTGGGCCACATGGCAGGGCCAAGCAACTGGAACATGATTCAGCACTCACACACAGTGAGACACACCGGGACATGATCAAGAGACATTTCACTGCCATGAGACAAGGCCGGGGAGGGATTCTAAAACAGCAGGATGGCTCCTACAGGTCAAGGAGCTCATCCCACTGTGATGTGAGGAATGGCTTATCTGGTGAGGACCACATGTGGGAATAGTTCAACCGCCACTAAAAACCCCAGAAGGGTTTTTGTTTTGTATTATTTTATAGATATATACTTTTCTTTTGTAAAAGTAAATGCAACACATAAACATTCAGGATTGATCCCAGTCTTCTGGAGCCAGCTTTTTGGGGATCAAGGAGGAAATGTTCGACTCACAAGGCGTTCATCTTCCATTGGAATGACTAGAGCCCCCAGTCAGTTCACCTGACTACAGAATTAGCACAGGACTGCTCTCAGGAACACAAATAGGCTCTCTTGCCTCTCATTGGTCATGCCTTAATATGGCTCCTCCTCCCCCTACTTTCAAGCAGGTCCTTAGTAATAAACAAAACACTAGCAAAAAAACAAGTTCTTATCTCTGGACTCTTAGATAAGAGTCTCCCTGGGCTTAGACTGAGGACCCATGCCCTACAGATGTCATTCTGACTAGATTGTACGAAGGGAGTGGGTGCAGGAGACAAAATGGCTAACACAAAATTGGGAGCCACCAGTCCCCATCTGCAGCTACAGCCTAAGATGCCTACAGATGTGGTCAGTGTGACATGTGCACAGGAGAGATGCAGAGGGGTGGGGTGGGAGGGAGGGTGTCCTGGGGAAAGGCGTCTGCCTGCTCGCCTTCACTTCTTGGCCTTGCCCTGGGCAGCCACAGCCTCCATGGCTTTGCGCACGGTCTCTTCATCCCCCAGGAACTGCATGGGCTTGATGGGCTTCAAGTTCTTGTCCAGTTCGTAGACAATGGGAATACCAGTCGGCAGGTTCAGCTCCATGATCGCCTCTTCAGAAAGACCTGGAAATACCCACCAGGATTAGCCACACAAGCTAGGACTCCACCTACCCCTTGGGTTCACCCTTTATTCTCTAGGTGACAAAGGCTTTGATTAGAATTAAAACAAGAGGCCCTTTCTTATATTTGAAATAACAACGATCTGTACCATATAGATGGATCTCCTAACACATGCCCCCAATATTTACTTCTCAGCCATTGAAAAGCAGGAAAAAAGGATGAAAGGTGTATACTGCATATCTCTTTCCCAAAGTAGGGTTCAAAAGCCCACAGTAGAGTGGGACTTAAATACATCTCAAATGTCCTATGTAGTCCATCCAGCCTGCAAAAACTCAGCAGATCTGGCCGCCAGGACCTCAGGTGAAACAACTGAAGATGCAAATTGAGATCCATGTGTGAAATTGTACCAGGTTGTGATTAAGGACAATTTTATCAGCAGTTCAACTGGCAATCCTGTCTAGAAGTGGGCATCTCAAACTTCAATGTGTATCTAAATCACCTGGGTGATAGATGCACTTGCAAATCAGGCCAGAAGTGTGACCTGAGGTTCTGCATGTGTAACAGGCACGTGGGGTTCCGGCCCCCGCTGCTTCTCCAGAGGGGCTGAGGAACAGGGGATAGGCTGTTTCCTCCAGGAACCAATCAGACTCTCTCTAAGACTGTCACTATGTCCAGCCCTTTCAAGTTTTCCTTCCTACCAAGTAACTAAATCCCTGATTAGTGGCATTCTCCTTTATCCCTCTTTGAAGGCCACTCTGAAAAATGTGCGTACCTTCCAGATGTTTGACAATGCCCCGGAGGCTGTTGCCATGGGCTGCAATCAGTACCCGTTTCCCCTCCTTAATCTGGGGCACTATTTCTTCATTCCAAAAGGGCAGAGCTCTGGCAATAGTGTCCTTCAGACTCTCACAGGAGGGTAGCTGATCTTCAGTGAGGTCTGCATACCTGCGATCCTAAACAAAAAAATCCAAGCTCACCAGTTAGTAGCAGTTGTACCTGTTCTGCCCATTCCTCATCCCCCAAGCGGTCAAAGTGATGGGTCTCTCCCCAGAGCACAAAGTGCAGTGAGAGCCTGCGAAAGGGATTATAATCTTGTCCCTTCCTCCCCATCACCTACTACTAGGAAGTCTAACAGTTCAAAGAAGCATACAGAAAAGGAGAAGAAGGCTCTTCCCAATTCATTTTATCTTACAATGGGCTTAGGAAGGCCCTACACCTATAGATAGGTTTTTACAAACTATGGCAGTGGAGATATTAAAGATATAAATTATTTTTACATAAATAACAAACAACTAAGTCTTAACAAGTGAAAGCCATTCCTTAGAGAAGGGATTACATATAATTTATGAACTGCTTTATCATAAATTATGAACTCAATAGGACTACACCACACTAATAAAAGCTAGAGTGAGGCCCAGATACCCTGGCTGGTGGGGCTGGGTGGTTAGTGTCGAGGTTTCTACCCAGCATGCAGGAGGCAAGCAATCAATGTGTCTTTCACATTGCTATTGCTCTCTTCTCCTCACCCTCCCTTCCACTCTCTCTATAATCATTGGAAAATATCCTCGGATGAGGAATAACCATCTCCCCCCCAAAAAAAGAGTGTCCCAGATTCTAACCCCTGGTCCTAGGTTGAGTGACCCAAGCCCCGGTTTGTACACACCCGTACGTACCTTGCTGATGTTGCTGTAGAAGGGGTGGTCAGGCTCCATCGGTGGGGGTGGGATGTCGTAAGAGCGCCTCCAGATCTTTACCTGGGCCTCGCCATGCTTGGCAGCAGTTTCTGCTTTGTTAAGCCCAGTCAGACCCCCATAGTGCCGCTCATTGAGACGCCAAGTCCTCACTACAGGCAGCCACATCTGGTCAATGGCATCCAGCACCGTCCAGAGGGTCCGAATAGCTCTCTTCTGCACCGAGGTGAAGCAGATGTCAAACTCATAGCCGGCATCTAGAAATCGTAAATTCAAAGTGATAAGCTAATCAGGTCCACTCTGGAGTCAGAATTTTCTTACATGTAAGTACAAGTAATCCAAATGAAAGATATTTGGCAAATATTTCATTTTGTATATTCTAGCAGGAAAAGTCTTCAGGTAGATAAAATGCGTTGACTTCTGTTTACAGTTGACAAAGTACCTTCCACAATTCTTTCAAGAAATGGATCCTAAAAACTTGGAATCTCTTAATAAATGACATTTATAGAAGGCTCACCATCTATCAGGCTCTGGACTAAGTATTGAGTGTTTAGTCTTCATAACAATCCTATGAAGTTACAATCCTTAAAACCTATTCTACAGATAAGAAAAATATAGACTAGATGAGTTAAGCAAATTATATAAAGACACAGCTATTACCTGAGATTAAAACCCAAGCTATGTGTGATCCCAAAATCCAACTTATAACACCATCTCTAGCTTCCTCCATATTTTCCTAAACCCTAACATTCCTGATGTTTGTATTTTAGTTAGAACTATCACTTCTGACTGATAATTATTAATATATTTCAGCCCTCTCTGACCTCTGGTCTATAATAAGTGTGATTTTTGAACCCTCAACAATTAGGACACAGCAAGAGCTCTTAAAGGATGCTGATAAAACTTTGTTGCATGAAATTAGTATTTTCACTATACAATACGGAAATCACATCACAACCTCTTCGTCCCACAGTTCCTTTCTTTCATATCAGTGTCAGCCTACTCCTGAGCACCCTGAGAAATACACACACATACCTAGGTCAACTGTTAAACCAAGGTGAGGAGATAGCACTCCCAGGAGAGAGCAAATGCTATGCACTGCCTGACTCATTTATACACAAATCTCTCCTCCACACAATAGTTACTGAGGAGTGGCAGTCAAGAGTTTTGTTGGCCCAATATATAGGTTACAAAGATTAGCCTTCATGTTTCACGCAATTTTATTCTCCTTCCCACTGTAAGGGGGATGTGGCCCTTTCCTTATTATGTAATAGCGCAGGGAAACAGTCCTCTTTTCCTCCATGAGGCTACAAAACCCTCTTTGAGATTCAGCAGACTTTCCTGAGTACTGCCTCATACTGAAGTTGCCAACAGTCATTAATGAAAGTGAAGCGAATTTTCCTTCCAGTCATTCAACTGAGAAGGCGGCCAGTAAGAACTACACTGATGGGGGAAGAGAAGCTTAGTCACTAGGAAACCACCGTCACCTACAAGGGAATAGGACACAGCTCATCGCTGAGCCTCAGAACAAGTCTAGTAGACTCAGTTACCATCTCCTCCTAACCTTAAGGGAAGGAAAGGTGCCCCCAAGCTGAGTCAATAGGAAGCAACTACCCAAAGTGCAAGCCTCCCATCTGAAAAACTACTGGTTATGTCACTGCCATTATTTTCAAAGGCAATGGGATACACAAATGGGATACATAAATAAGTCCCCAAGGAGAAAAGGATTTCCCCCTTAGGACTCTTAATAGACATCCTAAAGCTTGTTCCTTTACCTTGCCCATCAAGCAAAACACTCCCAGGGATAGATTTGCCGGGGTGGGGTGGGGAAACTCAGTTCTCACTAGCTTCCTCCTGAAATCAGATTCGTCTATAAACCTTACTATCACTTAAAGTCCTGGTAAGTGTAATCTAGGTCTTCTATATTAATTCATTTATTACTAATGGTCTTCATTATTCAGTTTTTGCTTTTAGTCTTTCATTTATTAATATCATAATCTTGATGCCCATGATAGGCATTAAGATTTTAAATAGGACTTTTTTAAAACTAATGCTACCGACATTTACTTAGAGATTGAAATAGGTTCTGTTATTTTAAGAGAGATTACAAATTTAACCTTCTGATTAGTCTTAGAGGACAGCTACAACGTCTTTGTCCTGGGCTAATCAGCAAACTACCACAGACCCATAGTTCTTTCTGGCGGCAGCAGGGGAGAAAATGGCCTCCTTCACCAGCACCGTCCCTTTCCCCGTCCCTTTCCCCGCCTCTCCTGAACAGTATGAGATCGCACCAGGCCATCCCCGAGTATTCCCGCGCCTGCGGCAAACTGCATTTCCCAGATTTTCCAACCCTTTGCTCTAAGAAGCTAGAGAGAGCAACCTGGGGCCAAACACCTGTCCCAAATCAACCAGGCATCGGTGACCTGGTTTCTTTGTCCAGGGGTTAGAAGGGAGCAAGGCCAGACCTAGCAAGCACCTCCTCAGTCCAAAGATCCTCTGGCTTGCTGGCAGCAGGGAAGGCTCCCTCCCTCACTAGCATTCCAAAATCACAGACCTGTCTGCCACAGGGGCAACCCTGCCCAGGCAAGCTTATCTCCACCTTTGCCCGGCGTCCTTGGCCAGCAGCCTACCACTTCCTCACACCTCCCCTTACTCAACCAGAACCGAAGCCAATGCACTGGACTAAGACATGACCTTGGACAAGTCATCTTTCCAGTCCTTACTATCCCAACTCTAAAAGAGGGCCAGGAAAGGATGGGAAGTTAGGGCAGAACATCTGTGTATTTTACGGGGCTGTGAAGAGGATCAACTGGACCCATTCATTCATTCATTCACTCAATTACATCTGCGGGTGCATTTTGTGGACAGCATTTGTAGAATGCCGCTGAGCAGTAAAGGCCGAAACAAGAACGGGATTTCTTGGTAAACTGATGCCTGCTGGACACCCCCCCACCCCCCCCACACACACACTCCCGCCCCAGCGGGAGATAGCTTGTGGCTTCCCTAGGATCTGCAGCAGCCTCTAAAGAAGGCTTGGTTACGGAAGCTGGAAGACACCGGGCATCCAACCCAACAACCCGCCCGGGAGTTACTAAACGCTCAGACCAGAAAGGACAATTTCGCAAGGCGACGTCGTGAAGAGCACGGCGGGCTGCCGGGGGGCCGCCCCGGGTCCACTTCCTGGCACGAGGCCCCCCCACACACGCTACTGGGTGACCTTGAGCAAGTCGATTGATTCCCCGCCCTGGGCCCATTTCCTCAGCTGCAAAAATGAACCGCTGGCGAGATGAAGCCCAGGGTCTCGGCCCTCTCCGGGAGGGCGCGGGGCCGAGCGAGGCGGCCCTGATCGCGCAGTGCCCGCCCGGGCCCTCGCACTCCCACCCCCGGCCCGGCCCGCTCCGCACCTCGCAGCGCCTGCCCGCCGCGCTTGGCCTCCTCGTGCCCCGCCGGGCTCAGGTCCGCGTCGTACCAGCCGCTGAAGCGGTTCTCCAGGTTCCACGCGCTCTCGCCGTGCCGGATCAGGACCAGCTTGTAGGCAGCCATGGTGGCGGTTCCGAGCGCGGAGCAGACTGAGGCTCTGCTGAGATTCCGGAGCCGCGGGCCGGCCCCCGCCGCCGCCTCCGCCCCCGCCCCCGCCCTCGACCGCGCCTGCGCGCTGGCGCCCTAAATCTTTCCACTGGCTGGGAACCACCGTCCGCCTGCCGGGTGTGCGCATGCGTCTGGCGCCGGTGCTGCGGCCCAGCGGGCAGGAGGGGAACCGTGGTGCGCTAGGGCGCATGCGTCCCCCGCCGCCCGCCCCGCGGCCGCCGCGCCCGTCACGGAGCGCACGTAAGCGCCCGGCCCGGGGCGGCGGCGGGACTGGGGGCGGCCCCGGGGCGTGGCTGCTGGCCCGAGTGTTGGCCACACACCCCGCCCTCCCAATGCAGCTCTCATTCATAAGCTTTTCCTTGTAGTAAAATGTAGATTTTGAATCATACGCGAATCTTCACGCTTTCAGTTAATTTGCTCTGTAGCTTTGGGCAGTTCGTGCGCCCTCGCCCAGCCTCATCCGTAAACAGACCTCATAAACGCTTAGCTCGTGCCTGCCTGGAGGATGCTCGGTAAGTAGTTGTATTGCTGTCTATTTTACACCTGAGGAAACTGGCTCTGACTGCAGGTTCCAACGCCATGCTCTTTAAAAAAAAAAAAAAAAATTTTTTTTTTATTGATTTCAGAGAGAAAGGGAGAGGGAGAGAGATGGAAAGATTAATGATGAGAGAGAATCATTGATTGGCTGCCTCCCTCACGCCCCCCTATTGAGGATCCAGCCAGGCGTGTGACCTGACTTGGAATCCAGCCGGGACCCTTGATCTGCAGGCCCACGCTATATCCACTGAGCCAAACCTACAGCTAAAGCCATGCTCTTTTGAACGCAGAGCTGTTTATCCACACTTCCTAGTTTCTCACAACCTTTAGAGCCCCTGGACCTCCAACAGAGAAGCAAATAAACCCTAATCCCCTTTCCAACATTCCGGAAAGTGGAGAGCCTGCCTGTTCCTCTCCTCCACCCAATTAGCAGGTAAATATATCCAAAGTCACATCTCAGAAGTGGACAAGAAACCAGGACTCAAACCCGAGCAGTCTAATAGCCTAGTATGTACTCTAACTGTCAAAACCGAACATTGTCACTAGTAGTTAAATGTTTATAGCAATGGTCATATCTGTTTATCCTTTCTAACAGAAGACTGGTCCCCAGCGCTCTCAATCCAATCAGTTTGTCTTAGCATTATTAGCATCCTTTCCAGATGCAAAGAAAAGAGACGACCACCAGATAATTCTTTTTATGTTCAAACATGTAACAAGAATCCAAAGAAAACAAAATGGTGGTATCATTATGATACTTGATGCCACTATTATCATCCTCCTAGTAGAAGATAGTCCTACTGAGAAAATGAGCACTTTGACCATTCAGTCTTTGAACTTTAACCTTTGACTGGAAGTGACTTACTTATAGGCAATGAAGACTACTTCCTTTTACTGCATTTTTACCCGTGTGCATTCTGGGCGCATGTTGATCGATGGTTCAGTCCAGGCAACTGACATGCTTTTATTAGTCATACAGTATGAATGCAGGTGTAAGGAAATGGCAAATATAATTCCATTTTTTATTTTTATTTTTTTAAAGCTTTTGGAAAAATTCCAGGTCCTCATGTATTGTGCAATAACAATGACTTCTTTGACGGTTTTGGGACGTTCATTGCCGGCAATGGACTTCATACAGGAAAAATTTTCTTTCTTTTTTTTTTTTTTTTTAAATATATTTTATTGATTTCATACAGAGAGGAAGTGAGAGAGATAGTTAGAAACATCGATGAGAGAGAGTCATCGATCAGCTGCCTCTTGCACACCCCCTACTGGGGACATGCCCGCAACCAAGGTACATGCCCTTGACCGGAATCGAACCCGGGACCCTTCAGTCCCCAAGCCGACGCTCTATCCATTGAGCCAAACCGGTCCCGGCCATACAGGAAAAATTTTCATTAGCTCCTGCCACCCAGTGATTAATGCTTGATAGGGCCTATGAAATTAACGTTAACGGTTCTAGTGGGATTATAAATAAAGTGAGGGATCCAACATTACTTTGAAAGTCACCCCAATTTATTTCTATTTGGATTCTATGCACTGTGATCCTAAGGTTAACAGCATGAATTAACATGCATCTTCAAAGGACTGTAATGAAAGATCATTGTGTACTTATTGAATTGTTTAATCTACTGTCAAGTTGTTTTGACATGGAAGGTTTTCAAGTAACATTGGCAGAGAGGTACAATATGTTATTCCTATAGTGAAAATAAATTCATTTGTTGTATATAGTTCTTTATCTTTGAAGTAAAGGTATGAGTAATAATAGGGTATGAATGGTTTAATCAAGGCTTTATTTTGGAAGATAAATGGCAGTGATGATTAAATTACTGTGGTCCATAATTTGGGCTTGTTTGTACATTAATGATTTTTCCAAGTATAGTATACTCTGTTACTTCCTGCTAGCCATCAGCATGAGCCCTACTGCCTAAACACTATTTCATTTATTTGTTTGGAAAACCCCAAAACAGTTTTTGTTTGCCATTTTGTTTCTTTTGTTATGTTTCAAGTCAAGTTTGAATGTTACAATATTTTAATTAAAAAACTTTTGTCAATTTTTTTCTTGTAAATTTTCTTTACTTGTAACTATCATCTTGTCCTTCGATCCTGTACCCTAAAGTAAGAAATAAACTTTTGACAGAGGTTTAATGTTTTATAAAAAAAAAAAAAAATCCTATGGAATAAAAGCCTAATATGCTAAGTGTCTGGTCATCTGGTCGGCCTTTCAACCAATCAAGGCATGATATGCTAATAATATGCTAAGCTGCTCAACCACTCGCTATGATGTGCACTGACCACCAGGGGGCAGATGCTCCAACCAGTAGTTTAGATGGCTGCTGGGGTTCAGCTGATCAGGACTTAGTGAGATGGGCCAGACATACCCTGGAGCCCTCCTGTGGTCCCTCCCTGGCTGGCCAACCTCCAGTGCTCTTCCCCAGCCCCAGTCATGTACCAGTAGTGTCCCTCACCCCAGCCTGCACTCTCTCGAAATCCGGGATCCCTCGGGGGATGTTGGAGAGCCAGTTTCAACCCAATCCTGCAGGCCAGGCCGAGGGACCCCACTGGTGCACAAATTTATGATCTGGGCCTCTAGTCATATTTATATGATTATTGTTGTGAGAAATAAAAGAGATGATGTGTGGGAAGCACTTAGCTCTGTACCTGGTAAATAGCCATAAATTACAATAAATATATACCGTATCATTAACATATTAGTAATAAACATTATTAGCAGTGTGAGCAAGGAGGCAAAAAAATATTTAATGAAGGGCACAATTTCAAAGGATGTGAATCTGCAGGTCCATGGACAGACTTCTCTTCCAGCAAGATGCCTGGCAGGGGATGGTTTGCTCAACAAGATGGTTTGTCCAACTATCTTTGGAACTGAGATAATTAGGATACTTTGGGCAGGAGGCCAGGGCATCTGTGCCAACAGCCTGAGAAGGAGCTCAGGAATCCCCTCTGCCTCCTGAAGGAGCCTCTCATCTCCTTGGAATCTGAGGAATTCTGATAATTTTACAAACCTCACAGGATAACTACTTTGGTCATCAGAGTTTTATAGGTTTTTAAAAAATATTTGTATCAGATCTACTCACATAGAAATTCCTTGAGGATGGGCATATGCACTTAGCATGATGCCTTTCCCTTGATAAATTCCCTCAGGATCCCTGAGTGTCTGAAGTGGAAGAGACCTTGAAAATCCTCAACTGCAAGTCCCACCTCCTGGCATCCCCAGTTTTCATGTAATAGATGAGGAAAGTGAGGTGAGCCATTCAGAAGAGCAGGAGATAAGCAGGGAACATGGTCATCAATAACAAGTTAGAGATGATCAAAGATAAGGGCCCCCAATTTGGGGCCTGCTGTGTCAGGAAGAGAGAGGCAGGAGTCCAGAGAGAGAGAGAGATGAGAAGGACCCTTGTGAGGACCATCAAGGCTTTGCAGATGGAAGCCAGTATAACTGGGCAGAGATGGGGATCCATTCAACATCTATTGCAGCATCAGAAATCTGCGAAGAGCCCTAGCTGGTTTGGCTCGGTGGATAGAGCATCAGCCTGCAGAAGGAAGGGTCCTGTGTTCAATTCCGGTTAAGGGCACATGCCCAGCTTGGAGGCTCAATCTCCAGTAGGAGGCATGCAAAAGGCAGCCAATCAATGATTCTCTCTCATCATCGATGTTTCTCTCTCTCTCCCTCTGCATTCCGCTCTGAAATAAATAGAAATTTTTTTTAAAAAAAAGAAATCCGGAAAGAAGCTTAGAGCCTATCAAGCCAAGGTGTCATTAAGGGTGAGGATAAACCAGTGTGTTTTGCCTGCCACTACTTTTTTTCTTTAATTTTAATTGTTATTTCTACTGAACACAAGGCACACAGACATTTGTCAGGCTGACTCCTGGGCTGAGTCTGGGTGCATTCACACATTCTGAGAACAAAGTTAAGTGCAAGGGGTTCAGATCACAGAGTAGCCTGAGACTCTTAACTAGGTCACTGCCTTTCAGGGAGCAACTATGGCTAATATATCACCTTCCTACAGGAACTGCAGGTTTGGGCATCTGTGCTCCAGAATCTTCTTAGCTGGCATCTTCTGGGCCAGAGGCACTAATCCATGACAGAGCCTTCATCTCTGCCAAGGGCCTCCAGGCAGCCTCTAAACCCTTAAGGCAGATAGCTTCCCTTCTAGCTTTAATTCCTCAGGCCTCAGGGAAGTCCCCAGGATTCTAACAGCTTTCTTTAAAATATTTTTTATTGCCCTGACCAGTTTGGCTCAGTGGATAGAACATTGGCTTGCAGACTTAAAGGTCCCAGGTTCAATTCCAGTCTAGGAATTGCGGGCACATTCCTGGCAGCAGGAAGCAGCTGATAGATGTTTCTAACTCTCCGTTTCTCTCTGTAAAAAATACAAAATAAAAATATTTCTTATTAATTT